GCTGCAGCTGTATATCACCGAACCAACAGCAAAGCCACCCAGATGGAAAATTGACTGGGGTGATTGATGACAAAAGTAAGTCCCAAACTTGCATTTGTGATCTGTGGCAAGAGCATAAAACCCGCGCTGGAGCTGAAGCGCGGAAAGCGTTCCGCGCCAAGTCACCGCACGTCCCTCTCCCCACTGCAGAGTTAGTGACAGACAACTCCCCACAACCACACCAGGCCACCCTCTGCCACCTCCAAGCAGGGAATTCACAGCAGATTCCAGAATTTAGTCCCGCATTTGTTTGCAAAGGCACCCAAGACCCACAGGCTTTGGGATAACTGCCCATGCTTCTGAGCTCTTGGCTCAATAAACATTGTTACTCATCACCAGATCATAACATCTGAATCTTCACAGTGACCCCCCAATTAAAAAAGAGATCATTACAAGATCTACAAAACCCACCAAGGATTTGATAGATGATCACAATTTAATGGCAGACAGGGACCTCACAGTGATAAGAACGTGGAGCTGCCATTCCTGCAGCATCTGAAATGTCACAAGCAGTTAGCAGATAACAACCTTCAGCACACTTAACGATAGCCCTGGAACTAACACATTTTGGGATACTTCACATACTGTACAGTCACCATTTTAAGGGAATTTAATAGCACCAAATTATTTAAATGAAGTGTTAATCAGGAAACAATTTATCTCTACACCATAAGCTATTTTTAGTCGTGAACTTTCTACTTCAGTGCCTCTTGCTACAGCTCAGGCTTTGGGTTGTTTGGAGAGCAGAAGAAATAAATGACTCCTGGGAGAGATTTCAGGAGTAAGTTCACCTTCAGGTCAAGCAGCTCAAATCCAACCCAATTCAGGAGAGAATGAAACCTGGACCCACTCCTGGCTCCAAAGCCAGGCTGAGCCAGCTCCTAAAGGGCAGAGGCACTGGCCAGTGGGATGGACAGGACTCTGGCCCTGCTCCCAGCTCTTAGAGAAAGCTGGAACTGAGCAAGAATTATCCTTTTCTGAAGGACTTCCAACTGAGCTGCATCAACAGAATGATGCTCAGTGCCATGTAAATTTAATTCAAATTTCAGTTAATTCACCATTGTTTGTCAGCTTGGATTGAAAACACCACAGAAGTGACATAATTTTAGATTGAAGGGAATAAACATCCATTTGCCCCAGCTCACAGATTCCTACCAAGGTAGCTTACAAGTGTGAGCACCTTCCCTGAAGCCACAGTTAACAACCTGTTATTTAAAGTCTACACAACATAAATAACAACCCTGCATCTCTCTGTATTTTCTGGGAGAAGCTGCCACACAGAATCCCAGTTCTTATACAATAAACCCCAAACTGCATCTCCAAGAATCCAAGAAGAGACCGGTTTTCAAATCAAAGTCAACCTTTTTCCAGGCAAGGTGCCTGGCTTTGTAACAGCAGGAGCAGCCCAACCCTCTACTCCTTTCCCTGCTTCCTGACAGAGCACAGAAAATATTCCTTTTTCCTGCTGCTGTTTCACTTCCAGGTTTGTTCACTGTCCCACCATGACTGTGACAATGGACTCTGACTTGATGTTAAGGGAAAAGTGTTTTTCCCAGCCCTTGTGCCAGTGAAAACCCACCAAGGAAGAGTAATCCAGAGATTTTTTAAGTCACATATTTTCATAAAGGTGGGTGTTTTGGTTTTTTTTTTTTTTGTTTTTTTTTAAACATCTCTGCTGCCAGTGAAAACCCAGCAAGGAAGAGTAATCCAGAGATTTTTTAACTCACATATTTTCATAAAGGTGGGTTTGTTTGTTTTAACATCTCTGAAACAGAAACTCTCAAGGACCGGAATTGAGCTTGTGCCAAAGAAGTGAGTTTGTCCTTCCCAAATTCCCAGTATTGCCCTGATCAGCCTCATTCTCTATTCTGCTCACATCACTGTTATGGGAAGCACCTTTTTCTGGGAAAGACCCTCCCATGTGGGAGGAAATTCAAGGTGTCTGATCCATCACTGAGGTCCAAGAAGGCTTCAGAGAGGGAAGGGGATGAGGAGAAGGAGGAGCTCGAGCTGCCCTGCTGCCTCACAGACCATGGTGGGATCAGAAGAGTGGCTGAATCACAAGACATTACACTCAGAGAAGACTATTTGCTGAAATATGAACTTAAAATATCGGTTAGAGGAAATCAAATCCATAGATTTCTTGGCAAAGCTGGCATGGAAATCCATCCTTAAGGGGCATCTTCCAAGCAGTGCTTAAGTGTCAAATGAAGGCACCAACCCAGCCAAGCAGCATTTAACTTTTAGGGATGAGGTAACATGAAGCAAAGAAAATATAGTGAATTTACAGGCCTAAAAATCAAAATAGAAAGAGCTGATTCTTCCTGTTTGGTCCAAACCTCCTCCATGTGTCAGAGCTGTGTACAAAAACCTCCCAGTGACAACCAGTAAGTGACAATTCAGCCCTGTGATCCATTTTCAGGCACCACACAGGCTCAAGACACCAACTTTTCCCAGCAGTACCAAGTGAGGGGAAGCTCTGAGGCAGCAGCACAGACTGCAAGGGATGATTTCCAGGCATTTTGAGCTGTGTGCCAGATAACTGCAGATATTCCAGGGGTCCTCCTGCCACTCCAGAACTCAGCCCCAAGTGCCTACAGGTCTCCCACCCATCTCCCACTCTCCCTGACCACATCAGAGCTCAGAAGAAGGCAGGCACAGCTTGGGACAGTGCCCTTCTTTTCTTTATTTTCTTTCTTTTTAGTAATTCTTAACTGATTAGCAGCTCCTTTTTATGTTTGCTTTTAAGCCAATAACATGCAGCAGATGCTGACCAGACATCAACAACAGTAAAGTCTTTCAGTTTTTCTAAGCAAGAGGATGAAGAAGCCAAGAGGGCTGAGAGAAGCTCCAACTATTCCCACACTGTTATTTGAAATCCATTATCTAAATTTCCTAGGATTTGGAATTTCTGGCATAACTGACTCATGTGATCAAGCCTCAGGCTGGCCAGGACACACACACACAGTGAGAGATGCCTGCTGCAAACTCTCAGGGACAGCTTCCCTCTGACCTGGCAAACCAAGCAGATGCCTAAACATGTAAATTCCATGCTACAAATCTTAAATTCTTAGATATCTCTAAATATGTTTCCAGAAACTTGCTCTTCTGAAGCTACCAAGAAATTTTTGACTGTTGAAAGCTGAAATCTCTTTATTTAAACGTCTCCCCTGCAGTTTATTGACTCAGTCCAGCACTTTTATTCCCTAAATTAGGAAGTATATTGAAAACCAAAGCAGTGCCCACACCTAAAGTTCAAATGTGTTAAAAGCTGAAATCTATTTAAATGTCTCCCCTGCAGTTTATTGACTCATCCAGCACTTTTATTCCCTAAATTAGGAAGTATATTGAAAACCAAACCAGTCCCCACACCTAAACATCTAAATTATATAGTAAACTGGATGAAAACAACCCAACTATGAATAATTTTCTCCTATGAACTCTGCCAGTGCCAGGTCAAAACTTGAGAACGAGTTTGATGAAATCATGGCTCCAGATACCTCAGGTCCCAGCCTGGGATCTCCAGGAGTGTCTTCTCAGTGGCACCACTTTAAAACCCATCTCAAACAGTACCATTCAGAGTTGGAAGGGGGAAAAAACTTCTCCGTTTTCTCCTAATAAAGGGGAATGTCTCAAAAAAGCAGGGAATGACACCTTGGCTTGAAGGACTGGGGGTTGGAATTAGATGATATTTAAGGTCCCTTCCAACCCAAACCAGCCTGATTCTATGAAGCATGAGACAGATAATTATTATTATTTTTCAAGAGAAGACACCTGAGTATCCAGGAACCCCTGGGATCTCCAGGAGTGTCTGCTCAGTGGCACTTTAAAACCCATCTCAAACAGTACCATTCAGAGTTGGAAGGGGGAAAAAAACTTCTCAGTTTTCTCCTAATAAAGGGGAATGTCTCAAAAAAGCAGGGAATGACACCTTGGCTTGAAGGACTGGGGGTTGGAATTAGATGATATTTAAGGTCCCTTCCAACCCAAACCAGCCTGATTCTATGAAGCATGAGACAGATAATTATTATTATTTTTCAAGAGAAGACACCTGAGTATCCAGGAACCCCAGGGTTGCTCATCCCAGTGGGTTTTGCACAAGGACAGGAGTGTGGGGATGGTTTTGCTGGCACATGCAGGAGGTGTCTACTTTACCCATAAATGCAAAAGGCACTTGGCACTTTATGGATGTCATCCCAAACATGCTGACAGAACTTCCACTAGACCATTATGAGTTTTGTACAAGCTGTGCATTTTACAAGATAAATTGTCTCAAATGTTTTCCCTTAATGCCATTTTTTAAAATCCACTTAGCTGTATGGACAAGTGCTTCAGCAAACAATAAACATCTTTGTTTAGAGCTCAGAAGGAGCTATAAACCACTTCCAACAACAAATTAAAAAGCTTTCCACAGAAGAATCTTGCTGTTAGAAGAATGCATAATACTGAACTTTCCAAAAGTGGAAAGAAGGGCTGTGGATCTCACCAGGAAGCCATAAAAAGCCCTTTCAGATCATACAGCACTTGCTTTTCCTAAGAATTAGATAAGAGATGGCAGATTCCTCCCGTATGTTAATGACTGTGAAATTATGTAGGGTTTTGACAAGTACAGGGTAACAAATACACAAAGACAGACACTGAAGGCTACCCAGAAACTCAGAATCTCTCGTGGGGGACAGATCAGCAGTCAAGGCTTAAAACCTTCCATATCAGTGAGTTTGTAAATCCCACAATGGTTTGGATTGGAAAGAATCCTAAAGTTCAACTAATTCCACCCCCTACCACGGGCAGGGACACCTTCCAAGATACCAGGTTGCTCTGAGCACCACCAGCCTGGCCTGGAACCCCTCCAGTTATGGAGAGATATCCATCCCTACCTCAGCTGCTCATGGTAGCTCCCTACAGACACTGGAAATGCAGATTTTCTCCCATTTTTTTCCCCTAGCGAGGTGCTCCCTTACCTGAATTTGGCGAGATGTGTAAACTGCTCATGTCTTTGGAGAGGCCGTTGGTTTTGGGGCTGGAGATGGGGGCACAGGCTGATGTGGCTCGGGGTGGCCTCTTCCCAGGGACCTTCACAGTGGTTCTGAGCAAGTCGATCTCCTTGCCGTGAACGTTCTGCATGTAATCCTGCAGAGAGAGGGGAAAACCCCAAAACACAACATCAGACAGGGAGGTCTGTAAGAATTAACAGAATTAACAAAGCTGCTTTCACAAGGCTTTGGCCTTACATCCTCTGCCAGCACCCACCATATGGTTTTCCCCTTCCTTCCATGTTCCTGATAATCCCTTCCACACTTCTCACCACTAACCCCAAAAGTCTGGAGCTTTCTCACAGATCCTCCAACTACCAGCTCCACAACACAGCCACGTGTGGGAATTCACCAGCCAAAGGTCCCAAACTTGAGGAGAAGACCAGGCTGAGTGCCCCTCCTGAGCACATTCACTTGTGTCTCCTCTCTGCCAGTGCTTTATGCCCTCATCTCTTTCTCCCTCAAATTGGGCTGGAATGGGTCAGCAGGCACCAAAGTTGCAAAAGCAGGGAAGATTTCAGTAATTTCAGCATTGTTCCCTTAGAATACAACCCTTCCTGCACCTACACAAAACATCATCAAAGGGGAAAAAAATTATGCAAATTACGTCTAATTAGAGCAAACACTGGGAGCCAGAAGTGGAAAAGGATTTTGCCAATTCTTGCTTGGAAAGCCCACAAAGGGGAAACAAACAGAAAAGCAAATGGACATGGGTGTTTTTATCAGAGGGCAAATTGATCCTGGGATATACCAGCACAGCTATTTCCAGAAGAGATGGTGAATGTTAGAGCCAGCACACAAGACACCAGAGCTCTCATCTCCTGGTACACAGGGCTGTGGTCACTCACATTCCAGAAGAAAATAATTGAAACTGGAACAATTACAAGAACATGAAAAGCAACAAAAGAGACACTCTCTTAAATTAAAAGGACATGCAAAAGAGGCAGCACAGGAGAGTAAAGTCAGGGGTGAAAAGGGGCAAGAGAACTGCATAAAAAGATATCTGGGCTGCCCAGAGAAGCTGTGGCTGCCCCTGGATGCCTGGGAGTCTCCAAGGCCAGGTTGTACAGAGGGGATTAGAGTAACCTGGTATAGTGGAAGGTGTCCCTGCCCATGGCAAGGGATGGAATGAGATGAGCTCTGAGGTCCCTTCCAACCCAAACCACTCCAGGACTCTGGGATTAAGGACCCCAAGAGAAAAACAGTGATTTGAGGTGGCTGGGAGAAGACCTAGGCTCCCACTTCACAAGAGATTTCCTGAATTTACCCAAAATCTGAACCCTGCTGCCACAATCCAGGCAGCTGATTGCTCCCTCATGAAGATTCTTTCACCTTTGGCAGTTTTTACAACACAAATTATTTATTCTGCTCAAAACCCATCAAAAATCTGGACCAGCAGTAATTTCTTCCTAGTTAACAGAAATCAGTGATAAAACCCTCAAACTAAGCCATCACGGTAGCTTACTTTTCCCAAACTGAGAATTATTAACAGGAAAAGGTGGGGTCTGAACAATTAGTGGGGAGAGGACACAGAGCTCTGCTGCCAAGAGAAAAACAAAGGCAATCCGCTCAGGAAAATTCCTTTACTAGGTGCTGGAGAACAAACACCTTTCATCCATAAATCACGAACTTGGCAGAACTTTCTTGTTCGGGTGTCACTTCTTCACAAATTAAAATACAATAAGCAGAAGATAACTGAGCATTTATTGCTTGTGGGCTGTAAAGTGAGGTTTAATCAGAGAGTGACTAAACCTTGGCACGTGCTCTTTTCCAATGGTTTTATTTCACGTACAACCAACTTAAACTGGAGAAGGGGGTTTTGGATCCAGCTCAGATGAAGGCTGGGTGTGATTCCCCAATTTGAGATGCGGCAGGGTGTTGCTAAAGGTCTTTTAGCTGGGTGCAAACCAGGCTGAGGCGAGCCACGAAACCACTTGAGGAAGTGTTGGCAAACACAAAACCAACGCGCGCCGCGGCCGCCGTCAGAGCGAAGCGCCCGAACGACAACAGATGCCGGCTGGGTATTAATGTCAGCTTAAATATTTATGGGGATATATCAAATGTAAATAATAAAGGCCCTTTCATCGTGGGCAGGGTGCACGGTGATAATCTGCGGGTCTCCCCGAGGAGGGGAGGGCAAGGACGGCGCTCCCAGCCCCGTCAGATCCCCGCTCGCTCGGGGAATGAAAGTTCAAACTACAAAATGACGCCGGGGCTTCAGAAGCGCAATGGAGGGTTTGATCAGATTAGAACAGATGAGGGTCTTGCTGTCATCTGGAATATGCTGTGTTAAAGAGAAGACAGCAAGCTGGATTTTGATATGCAAATGGTACAGGGATAACTCCCCAAGATGTTAGTTGTGGAAAATGCTGATCCGAGAAAAAAGGGGGAAAAAAACCCTTTAACAAGGCATGAGGGTAATTCAAAGCCAAGTACTTTTAAACAGCACTTAACAAGTCCCTAGAGCCCACTCAACAGTGGGCCACCCCAGACGTGCCATCTTCTGCCCCTCAACAGCTTGAAAAAGTAGTAATTGCGAATCCATTTGCATTTTTCTTCTCAACTTGTCCACGTTCATCATTCGGCAAGGCGGGGGGAAAAAAATAATAAGAAAAATAAGAATTAAAGCCAGCAGCAAAGCAGAGGGACCCCTCCCCAAACACGTGGCACAGAGGAGATGCGGGCGCCCCGATCCCCCACCACCCTGCGCTCGCACCTCCGCGCCGCTTGTTTTTTACATTTCGCTCCTAATTATGTTGCATCTATTGCCATACACTTAATTAGCTGCATTAATGTGATTTCTTTTCACATAGTCAAGCAATTAAGAGCTATGATTGAGTTTCATTCAATTAGCCTCAACAAACATGCTAATTGATGTCCCAGATGCAAATGAGGTGCAGTGAGAGAAACCTGCTAGCAATTGAGAGTTGTGGCAGGGGGACCCGGGGCTCGCAGCAGCAGCAGCACGGCTGAACACGGCTCCCCCTCCTCGCAGGGCAGGGGGGACACCAGCCATGTCCCAAAGAGATCCCTGCAGGACTGAATCCAGGGATCACAGGATGGAATCCACGGGTGCTGTCTGTGGTTCCGGCGGCTGGGGGAATGTTCTGCTGGTCCCAGGATCCAAGGGCTACCTGAGGTCTCCATCCTGGCTCTGCTGGAGCTGTGAGACACCAGGCAGGCCATGGCCTGCAGTCAGCACTAACTGGCAGCTCCATCTTAGTCAGAGCGGGGCGACGCCGCCTCGGCATCCATCAATCCATAATCCCCCAAAACGCGCTCCCCGCGTCGATTCTCATCCCTTTTCCTCCCCGGGTTACCGCTCCGCTACGGCGCCACCGAGGTGTTAATTTGACTACTCAAGGCCATTGACCATTATCTACAGGACTAAATAAACTGTTAAAATATCAGGGGAAAATCAAAAAAGCTGCATTGACTGAAGATGACGCCAAATATCACTTGACAGCCCCACAAAATGAATTGCCTTGAGTGAGAAAGGAACGATGCGCCATGACACAGAATAATGTAAAGCAAAATTACTTTAGTTCTGCTCTTAATACAGCAGCTCTCTGTTTACAACAGCAGAAATTAATTTAACCAATTAACTGAGCAGGAGCCTTTCAGACATGCAAATTGAGCAAATGGGTATGATCATGTTTTCTAAACAGGCCTACCCAAAAGTGACACCCCCGTTTTGGGGAGCCTCTTTGGATTTTGAATGGCAGCAGTTGAATTTACAGCTGCACATCACAATGATTTCAAAGAGACTCCACCGAGGGCCACAAGCTGAACCCAGGCCATGTGTGGCTCCAGCTTGATGCCAATGTCCAAGCTGGCCCTGAGCACTGCCAGGGATGGGGCAGCCACAGCTTCTCTGGGCAAGGGCCTCCCCACCCTCACAGGGAGGAATTCCTTCCCAATATCCAATCTGAATCCACTCCCCTTCAGCTTAAAGCCATTCCCCCTTGTCCTTGTGCTCTAGAGCCATCCTTAAATTAATGACATGGCTCAGATTATTAAAAGCATACATATAAAAAACATTATGGAGTTTGAGGGTTTTCAAATAATACAAGAGTAGTGGAGAGGGAGAAAGTCTTCACTGGGTTTGTAGTTTCACACTGGGCAAAGGGGTTTCCAAGCTCACATTGAAACCACTCACCTCGGGATAAGCCATGTGTCACAACACTAAAATGTAAAATAAATCTGCTCCTTCCTAGAGGTCTCCCCATGTTTCTTCCATCTGTCCCACTGCCACCCTTTTCCAATGCACCACATATGAAATGAGAGACTCTCCAAGAGCAATGACTTTCCAAGGCTATAATGGTACACAGGTATGAATATCACACTTTTTTTGTCCTTTTCATCTATTCCAATCTCTCGAAAGCCTGTTTTTCCATCACTAGGAACAGGTCCAGGCTAAGAATCCTCCCAGATTTGTGTGTGGTTTCCACTGAGAGATGATGAGCTTCTAACCTATCCCTGGTAGTGTCCAAGGGCCAGGTTGGATGGGGCTGTGAACAGCCTGGGATACTGGAAGACATGGCAGAGAGGTGGAACAAGATGAGCTTCAAGGTCCCTTGCAACCCAAACTGTTTTGTGATTCTGTAAAAAACACCTTCGTTTTGTTTTCCCCCACTGTTCAATCGGACATAACACTCCTAAGGCTCCACTTACTGAGGTTAAAATAGTGTTTCCTGATCTGAGGCATAATAAAAATTATTATGGAAAAGGAAGTTTATGGTTGCACCTCTGGATGACATTTTAAAGACTGTGTGCAGCGTATTTTTTGAAAGACAATTCCAATTTTGTGAGCTGACCTATTGGAGGCACAAAACCTATTGTTCACCCTCAGCAACAACCAAATCCTCTTCCCCCCAAACCAAGAGCAGCCCAGGAAATTGGATGGAGCCCTGACTTTTGTGCCTCTCTGTGGCAGTCAGACATTTTTATTGCAAAACGCCGTCTGGAAAAGATGCAAAACAAAATTGCTAAACTGCAAAAAGAAGAAAAGGAGGGAGGGGGGAGAAGAAGAAAAAAACAAAAGGCCCCCTTCCCTTTGCTTATTGAGTTCAAAGGCATAACATGCAGCACCCTGCA